CTGGGCTCCCCAGTTCAAGAAAGATGAGGAGCTACTGGAGAGAGTCCAGCGGAGGGCTACGAGGATGGTGAGGGGACTGGAGCATCTCTGCTACGAGGAGAGGCTGAGGGAGCTGGGCTTGTTCAGCCTGGAGAAGAGAAGGCTGAGAGGGGACCTTAGAAATGCCTCTAAATATCTGCAGGGTGGGTGTCAGGAGGACGGGGCCAGACTCTTTCCAGTGGTGCCCAGCGACAGGACAAGGGGCAATGGGCACAAACTGAAGCAGAGGAAGTTCCGTCTGAAGATGAGGAAGCACTTCTTCCCTCTGAGGGTGACAGAGCCCTGGCCCAGGCTGCCCAGGGAGGCTGTGGAGTCTCCTTCTCTGGAGATATTCCAGACCTGCCTGGACGTGGTGCTGTGCAGCCTGCTCTGGGTGACCCTGCTTGGGCAGGGGGTTGGGCTGGGTGACCCACAGAGGTCCCTTCCAACCCCGAACATTCTGTGATTCTGTGAAACTTATATCTTGTTTATCTTCAATGAATTTTAACTTTAAGTAGATACTAATTTTTCAGCTAGACACATATTTCCAGTTTGGCAGCATCTTAAGGTTTTATTCTTTCATAGAACTGCTGTCTCATTTATTCTCAGCTTGAGGCAGACTTTGGTATTAAAAGCTGACCTAAAGTTCAGCTTTCAATGACATTAGAATTGTTTGAATAGAGAAACTGATACAAATAAACTAAATAAATAGCTAAAGTTTTAAATTGAATATTAGTAACCTTGCAGGAACAGCCTGTGCACTGTCAAATGGGTAGGAATTTGCAGTATCCCTCAGGTGCAGAGTTGGGAGGTGGATTTGCAGGTTGAAATTTACCATTGAATGCTCTTTTAGCGGGAAGGGTTAAAACAATTAAGAGAAATTAAGCTTTTAGCAAGCTAATAGATCATGCATTTGCATTGTAAGACTTTAATTGAAACTTGTAGGCACAGATTCCAGACAGTCTCCTGCTCTTTGACTCAGTGTGTTACTCTTCTGTCTTGGAAAAGCTTTCTTAATTTTTCTGACTTGCTTGTTGTTGGCTGAAAAATATCTTCAAAATTTTATAACACGTCTGTCTGCTGTCTTTGCTTCAGAACAACCCCCAAATGCGGCCACCAAGAGGACTGATGAACGCAGGGAAATGCTCCAGCGCTATAAAGAAGAAAAGGAACTTCGAAAACTGAGAGAGCAGAGAGAGAAAGCAAAAAAGGGTGTGTTTAAAGTTGGGTTGTACAGACCAACTGCACCTGGATTTCTTTCACTTGTGCCTGAAGATCCAGTGATAGTGAAGCCAAGAGAGAAGGTAAGAAGAGTAGTATTAAATATCTAAATGAAGTATATGTAGTATACTATATTAAAATTTCTATTTGTACACAAAAGTATGTGTATGTTATGCCAAATAAACCGTTTATTTTGTAAATACTTTATAAGTATTTATTTTAGAATAAGAAAAGATAAGGGAGTAATTTGGCTCATTTTTTTAAAACAAAGCTGGGAATAATACTAGTGATATGTTGATTTTTGTACTTGTGACTGTGGTCAGTTCAAAAACTGGAATGACTCATCCACAAATAAAGCAGCTAAGTTATTTTAGAACTCGTAACTTGTTCCTCTTTAGTCCACTTGCTTTAGAAAGTTTTTCAGATTACACCCTTGACCCATTTTGCACAGGAAAGTTGCTTTTCACACTCTGGCTTCTTGCCCACTCCGACAGTGGCGGGGGGGGAAAAAGGAGGATGTTAACTCATGTTTCCTTGGGGATGTTTCCAGGCAGCTCCTGCTTTCTCCGGGAGGATTACTCGATCAAAAGCCAAGAATCAAGAAGAAAAAACTGAGATACCAACTGTGTCCAAGCACTCTACGGTTTGTTTTTTATATGAACTTCAACGAATAAATTTAGAGAGAAGGAAGCAATTATCCTTCAGACCATGTCTCAGGGTTGTATGCTTACAAGTTGAGTGCTGTCTCTAAGGAGGTTTTTCTGGTGAGAAAGATAAATTAGATCAGAAAAGCTTTCAGGAAGCTGATAGACCTTGTTATGCTGGTTTGAGCATTGTGCTGAACTGAACTGCGGAGAGTTGGATTAGGTCAGTACAAACAGAGAAAAGTGCACAGATCTTCTGGGTCAATCTTTCAATACAAAATATTGCAGTCGGCAAGGACTGCGAATATATGTGGAGGCAGCAGTGAGACTGAAGTTACATACTTTGGTTTTGGGTGGAGAACCAGTGCATCTCCCTTGAACGCAGAAAGTCTGTCATGGATGCAGATTATAAAGAGCCAGTTCATTCTTCACTCAAAAATTACTCTAGTGTTGGGCATATTTTTACTGTGAATCTTGGCAGTGCCTTCTGCTATTACTTGTATAAAAAAGCAGGTTTTTTTGAGGAATTTCATCTTCAGTAATCTGTAAAAGGACCTATATTTTGAATCTAGCAATCTTGCCTTACGAAACTTGAAGGCATTTGAAGGATTTCTAGTCATAACTTTACAAAGGGACAACTCAGTTAATATGGATTATTTTTTCTGTCATGAAAACTGGTTTTAAAAACACTTCATATGTGCTGAGTTGCAGCAGTAACTGGCACCTAGTATCATAGTAAACTGAAACTTTATTAATATTTTTCTTCATTCTTTTTCTGTCAAATTCTCAACTAGTTGGTTAATGCATGTTAACATATGTCTAAAATGAGCTATTTTAGTTATCCTTAATTTTTTTTTTTTTGTATTTTAGAGCCCTTTGTGCCAAATTATTTAACCATTTGTTTTACTGGAGCCTAGGCTAGAAAGATGAGGAAGGAAATCAGGCTGCTTCATTTCTGGAAATCTAATACTTCACAACAAGTTATCTTCTTTTGTAGGTCAGTGCCAACGGGCGTGGTGTGCGCCCAACACAAGCAGGACGTAAACAGATGAGTACAGACAAAGTGGCTGAAAAAGAGAAAGGTATGAAGGTAGTGTGATCCCTGCACCCGAGTCTGAAAGGATGCTGCTGGGTTGTTTTTTTTTCTTATTTTCCTGACTCGGTAGTTGTGACGTTATGGGAGGGAGGCAAAGAACATCTCTGGGAGTGATCTGCAGTATATTTTTGGGTGTAGGAAATGAGGAGGAGATTTTAGGACGGCCATTCCTACCAACTATGACAAGGGCAGGAGCTGGCAGACCGTCGAGCGTGTGGCTCTAGGTGTCGCATGCACTTGTGGCCTCTGTAGACTGGGGGGAATGGAGTGCAGGGTACTTCATGTCGTCCTGGTTACCGATTATTCACCCTGGGGCAGGGCAAAGAAAGGTCAGTAGGCAGAATGGTGTGACTGCTTGCTGCCTTGGCATCTGGACCTGTGCAGAGCGCTCTGTCTCTGAGAAGAACATCACATGGAGTAGCTGCTGCTATTACAGAAGAGCAAGTGACTTCACCTGGAAAGCTGAAGAGTACCTGGCATAAGTAGAATATGAATTTTCCTTGATACTCTGGTAGCCTGAAAAATAGTTAATTGTATGAGCTGTAAATATTTTCAGTGAAGTTTTTCTGCTGTCTATACAACACATACGCTGTTGTCTGTGGTCTCTAAAGGAAACTGCTTGTGTAACTCAACATTGAAAAAGGTTTGGGAGAGGACAGCCTCTGGTGAAGCCCATTAGCTTATAACGGTGGAGACAGGAGCCCAAACTTCTGATGCACACTGGTGCAACCAAGTAAACGTGTGATTGTCATCTTCAATAAATGACAAGTACAATCTTACATTTTCATATTTTACAACAGCGCCTTCTGTATCTGTCACTTTGTATGTGGCAATGATACATTTCTTAAGAAAACAACAACAAAACACCCCACTCCTGCCACCATTAAGGGAGTAGAATACTTTTGATTAGAAATCCTTGCTGGTAGCACAGTGTTGTCCATGCCTTAAGCAGATAAGGCTAAGTCATGTGCTCTGTTGATGTTACTGCAAGATAGTAATTCAGAGTGAAATGACTTTCGCATCACTAATTTAATTAAATCAGCAAGCAGCAGACCTTTATTTAAATACATTTCAGTAGTGCCTCTGGTGAATACTGAAGAGATCTATTATCAGTGTTTGATAAAACAATTAAAACATTTAATTTTTGAAAAATTGTCATCCACTAGACTTTATTATTCCCTTTTTACTGAATCAACAATATGCTAGTATAAAAATGTTCGGGAAATGATTGTTTGGATAAATCAGATGTTATATTTATTTAGCTAGTAATTTCGTTCCCAACTTGCCATTCTAGCTTCCACAGAATTGCAGTTTGACATTAAAAACACAAGTAGCATGAACGGTAACCAAGTGGGGCTACTAGATTTCAGGCAGCTGTAGAAAGGGAAGGTATGACATACAGAGCTCCTGTTAAATTTTTCTGTGCGGGAGAATGCTATTATTTTTGAAGGATATTAGAAACAGTACTAAAATACAAAGATGAAAATAATTATTTTTGAAGGATATTAGAAACAGTACTAAAATACAAAGATGAAAATAATTTAAGATGGGTAATACACTGCATGAACTTGTCATATTTTATAAAATACTTCAGGGGCAATTTGTCTTAATACTTTGTTAGATTACATTACATTCAGACCTTAGAAAATCTTCATATAATGACCAGGGCATCACTTTGTCACACTGCTGGTTTGTGTAAGCTTCCAGCTGTGCAAATAAGCATGGCAAATTATTATTCTAGAAAGCTTCATCTGTAAAATGGGGACGATGTTGACTCTGACTGCAGGGAACATTGAGAAGGGTCTCTTAAGCTTTGTGTATGGCATCTAGCACACAGGTACCTTGGTGCTATTGGGTCCTGGAGGTACTACTGTTCAACAAAACCATCTTCAGTCAAGATCCTGCAGAGCATTGCCTTGATGCCGAGGCTGAGCTGTGCTGTCCAGGTTTAGCACTGCTCGCACTGAGCTGACAAAAACCCCCTGTTGATTCTGGGCAGCTAATGCAACCAGTAATTGCTAGTGCGCTTTTCCGATTTCTACAAAACGTAAACTTTCAATTCTGTTACTTGAATGCTGCTTCTTATTAAGCTTTGAAATCTCTGGAATTAACATTTCTTACAGTGTTGCAGACTGCAGTCCAGACAACCTCAAATGTAAGAATCACCAGAGCAGCAGCCGCTGCAGCTAGGCAGATGCTGAAAACAACAGCTACTGCTGCTATTACTGGTAAGTAGGGCAGTGAATACAGTCCTGCTTGTGTAGCTCAAGCCTGATATGTAAGTATTTGGAGTAGTTTAGGAATCTAGTACTGGATAAGTGAGCACTGGAAACAACATATGTATGTTTATATGCTGCTGTTAGACTCATTGTCATATGATATACTAAGACAGCTCTGTTGTCTTCAGGATCTTGCTCGTGTCTCGGGCACTCTCTTCTGCTGTAGAGGTACATATCAGCTTGTTCTGAACTGCCTTAGCATACTGCGTTCTGCTGTGTAACTATCTCCTTTGAATAGACAGACTGTGTGTAAATCATGCCAAATTGTCATGTAAGAAAAGGACTAAATACTGTATCACTTACACCCTCATCTGGAACTCTATTGCAATATTTAAATCAAGATGTTGAAACCAACATTGGACAGTTTCCCATAAAATCCATCAGTGTGGAGCAGCAATATCCATATGGTAGTTATAAACTGAAATAACAAAAACAGAACTGGTAAAGATTTGCCAGTTTGGCGTGTCACTGTTTAAGGACATATGATTATTAAGCCTATGATCAGGAACAGACACCTCTGGAAGAGACGAGAGCCTGTGTTCTTCAGGCCAGGAATTTCCCTTTGTCCATGTTTCATGTTTACTAGAATAGGGGAACGTGATGGTTACTGAAGGAGAAATTTTTAGGATATATTCTTGCTCTCAGAATATTCTCTGGAATGTTTTGCAGTGTTCCTTTTATTATATGTGGTAGAAGTTAACTCCTAGGCTGAAAGCAAAGCTTTGATAGTATCAGTTTCAATGCACGAACAGAAATCCTATGCCATATGGAAATTAAAAATCTGAACTCAGTTTGGCTTGACACTATCTCTTCAGCCTTTAAGGAAAGAAGGTGACTTTCATTTTTAGTATATGACAACATCTAAAGACTAATGACTTAATGAATCTGTTTTCCTTTCTTGGTGATACATCTTTTAATGGGCTGTTAAATTGTAGGACAGGTTTTCTTTGAAGTGAACTTTTGCAATTAGTTGTCCTTCAGCCACCTCCCACTCAAGAAACAAAACAGTCTTTCCCCGTCTATAACCACTGGACTTTTAGGGCAGTCTTTTGGAGAAATATTGTCTTAATCAGATGCCTTTTTGACCTTTGGGAGTTTCTCTCATTCTAGGTAACCCACCACAGAGAAAGACAGCAAATGTAGGAAAGCAGAAGAAAGCAGTCAAACCTGACATCACGGAGGTAGGCCATTTAATATTTGAAATGGAAAAGTAAAACTGATTTAAGAGCCAAGGACGGTGTAATTGTAACTCAAATATACTTGTATTCAAGCATAGAAGTAATAAGTTCACTAATAAGCTAGATTTTATGAAGAAGGTGCATGTAATTATATTGCCATATTTTAAAAATTAAGATCAAATGTAGTTTGCTTATATGGATGAGTTGATTACTAATCAAGATCTGGACAATGATTTAGACAAGAAGTTCTTATGTGACGTATCTCATGTCTGATGTTTTAACTATTGAAAAAAACCAAACCGGCCTGCTTTGCTGGTTTTATCTGGCATTTGTAAATTTTTTTCAGTTCATTCCTTTTTGAAACATACTCTGGATGTATCCTTTTCATGTTAAGGTGATGATATGGGACTTTAGTAGCTAAAAAATAAATGTGATTTTAGGTTTGAACCATAAAAAAATAAAGCTGGAAATGTTATTCTCTGGAAGGTAAACATATCATAATTAAAGGCTGTCATTGTGGTTCTTGGTGTCATTGCTGTAACAAAACCTTTCTACCCCTGCACTGAGACAGCAGTACATGAATTCCTTGTAACCCTCCAACCCCAGTTCCCAAATAATTTGCGTAGATGTTCATGCACTGACTGTCCTGTGCGAGAACCATCAGTTATTTTTCTCCTCCTTTGCACTCCCCCATTCCCTCTCATCCCGTGTCTCCCTCACGCTTCCCACCTCCACTCCTGTTTCCATAACTGCAGCTGTGCTGTAGTATTCTCTTAAAACTGGTGTGATCACGCCCAAACACTGACAGGAGGTAAGAGGCACCTAGATCTTCGCTTGGGTAAGCCCCTCTTCACAGGCGGGAGCTGCTTCGTGCTGCCAGTTGGTAAAGTCTTGTTGTAACCTCAGTCATTGCATTACAAGCAGCGTGTTAGAAGTTGAGTTCAAGGCTTACATTCCAAACAGGCAATACTTTGTATAAGAAGATTTTTCGATGGATTGAAGATGCATATTTTCTGGAAAAACTTTTGAAGCTCTTTTGTCTGGTTTGAGCTAACAGTATCTCGGTATGGGGATCTCAAAGTCATACCGAGCACCTGTCTAGTCACTCGTCTCATAGGAATGTGGGCTCGACGTATTGATTAACTTTTTATTATCTTTGAACTTGTGTTCTCCTTGTCTCGGGCTGCATTCCTCAGCTATCAGGTTGTTTTGGTTCGTTCTTTGGTCTTCCGATTAGAGTATGTGTATAAACTGTGATTATTCAACAGGCCTAGCTGGATTTGGAGCCAGTAATTCTGCTCGTGAGGAGCTTATCACCTTGAAGCATTTTTTGCTAGCAGTGGGAGCAAGCCTTTGCTAATTTTAATTACTGTTTTGGTAGGTGAGGTGTTCTGCTACTTTAGCCCCTTCAGTGGATTGTGCATTCCTCATAGTGAAGTGCTCTCCCTGTTGCTAGAATGATTGGCAGGTCTCAAAACCAGTTGGGCTGACTGGTGGTAAATCATGACTTCTGTACATGTATTACATGTATACTATTGTAGAAACCAACTTACCTGTTCCCTTCCTGATGGCTTTCAGACAGTCAGGTTATAATTCAGCCCATGCCTATAGTAAACACTTTATTGCTTTAATAACGTAGCGTTTGCTTTGTCTCTCCGTGCTGTTACAGGTAGTTCCTTCCAAACATGGAGTGGATAAAAATGCTCAGCTGAACCCAGCAATGAAAGATTCTGCAGCTGATTCTAAACATCCAGCATCAGTAGAACTTCAACAGGAACAGACCTCCGTGGAGAACAACAACAATTCTACACCAGGGAGACCCAGAACATGCTCTTTTGCACCTCAAAACTTTGTGTTTCAGCCTTTAAATGGATTAGCAACCTACAAAGTTACACCCATGACTCCTTCTAGCGCAAATGCGTTTTTGACACCTAATGCCTTCTGGGGTTCTTCAAAAACTCCAGTGTAAGATTCTTTCTTCTAATGGCCTAAAATGGAAGTGAACCTCTCTGTGATGCTACAGGAAACATCATCTTTCTGCAGAGAGAATCCCTGTGTAACAAACTGTTGTGTTGTTGAAACACTTGGTCATAGTGGTTGTGATTGTTGCTTAATCAAATGTGGACTTAATACAACAGCAAAGCAAGCTGTATGATCTATAATGCTGTCTATGCTTTAAAGTAAAGCAGCTCCATATATCAGGAACTTGTGCCATACATATCTATACGCAGATTTATTAATTTTAATAGGAATTTCTTGCATTGTCTAGTGTTGAATGTAAGATAGCCTACCAGATGGGTGGGGCGTGTTTGTGTATCTGGTCGTGTTTGATGACAGTTTCCTGATGCATCTTTACTCTGAATGTACTTTTTGTTTGTTTCCAGTAATATAATGGAAAAATCCAGTAAAACTAAGGCACGAGAGCCTAATTTCAAAAGTCAAGTTTCACCTGCTGGTAAAGGCATTCAAGAACAGCAAACCACTACAAGTTTGAAAGGAGAAAAAGGTAGGAAGTTCACATTTAGTTTATTGTTCTAATGTTTTTAATTTTCACCAGATTCTCAACACGTGCCTTTCATATTTTTCAGAAAGTGAATCAGAAGAGAAAAATTCTGTTCAGAGACCAAATGACACAATACCTGTCTCTACAGATATAACAGCACTTGAAACGAAGTCAGGTGATACAAGGGAGCAAGAGCATGATGTGCCCTATTTCAGGTTCGTGTTCATTTGTTTCACTTCCTTGTTGTCTGTTCGGAGGTCCTTAACATGAGTAATGAGACCTCTTGTAAAGATGAGCTTATGATGGTCGGTGTCTGTCAGCGGTGACCTCAGTAGGCACACATTCCTATCTTCCCTTTTGTATTGTTAGTGCAAGTAAAGCATATAGAATTCTGGAGACGAACAGCTTATCCTAAAGAATACGAGGTTGAAAGCAGTACAGAAGAAACAGCATCTCAGCTAGTCAGCAAACAACAAGTCTAAGGATTTGTGCTCAACAGCAGTGTAGCTTCTCTGAGAGTAAAAGGATAGTAATCATTAACAGTCGTAAGCTGTGACAGCAGTTAGAAAATTCTCCAAAAACTAATTTTTTCACTTTCCCTTTATTTTTAGGAACATTCTTCAGTCTGAGACAGAGAGGCTGATGTCTCAGTGCCTCCAGTGGGATGGAAAATTTGAGCTGGACATTCCAGAGGATGGTAAGGCTAAACTGTAATAGGCAGTAGAAGGAGCGCTATGGTAGCTGAAGGGGACAGAGGGAAGTGTGTATCTGAATATATTTGCAAAATAGCACTGTCCATGGCACTTAATAAAAGCTGTGTTAGATAAAGTTTAGAGTTGTGTCTGCCTCAACATAGAAAGGTATGCTTTGTCTCCCAACACTAAAACTTCTGTGTAGTACTTGACATGATGGTGGTTGATACGAAAATGGACAAAGTGCATTATCAGAATATTTTTTCTGTTGTCAGTTTTAAGTGTATTTAAATGTATGAACTTTAACCAAGCTGATTTTTAAAAATGAAATTAGATTTTAACATAGAATAAACATCCTTATTTGGGAAAATGAAGACGACTCATCAATGCTTGTCTGAAAGACTTAAAGAGATAGTAACATTTATTTTGCAAGAAGCAAGTTTAGAGCAGTTCGATGGATAGGTACGCTCCATCTGAATTGTGTTGCAGGTCTGCAGTATATGAACATAGTTCAACCAATAAATAGATTCAAGATTCTTCAAATACTTATTTAAATCACTTGTGAAATGATGGATTAGACTAAGATGTGCTTTCTTTATTGTTTTCTTGTTGCTATCAGCTAAAGATCTTATTCGCACCACAATTGGTCAGACAAGACTGCTCATAGCAGAAAGGTTTAAGCAGTTTGAAGGACTGGTGGATAATTGTGAGTTTAAACGAGGTGAAAAAGAAACAACATGTACAGACTTAGATGGATTTTGGGATATGATTAATTTTCAGGTACGTACTTGCGTGTTAACCTACTGGAATAAAGTTGATGGGGTTATTTACGAACAATGGACTGAAACTAACTTTTTGTTTGTTTGAATATTCGCATCCTGATTTTTTTTAGATATAAGAAATGCAGGTCCTTGTTTAACGCTTTCTGATAGTGAATAATGCCAGCTGGTGTACTACGATTTATAATTCATGGACCAGTTCATCTCTTGTGTTGTCTTGTGGCCTGTGGTGTATCTTGTTTTCCTCTGGAACAAAGGCGTGTAGCCAAGTGTCATTCTGGTTTGGAGTGAGGATGCAGACACAATGTCTACCTGGACAAGAGCTGAGAGCTTTTGGAAAGCTCCTGGAGCTCACCTGAAGAGTTACAGGTCCCATGCTTCAGTGTGAGAATAACGCAGAAACTACAATAGCCTTATTAGGGGTGAGCTTAGGTCTTAGAAAACGTTCATATCTGTTTCTCTGATGCTTCCATTGGTTTCAGAATGAAATATAATATTCTAAATTATCAAAGTGGCTCTTGATAGTATTTGTAAATCAGCATTCAACAAAGGAACTTGTAACTAGTGAAATCAAACGCAAAGATGGATTTATTGTTAAGGTCTTAGTTGTAGGTCTTTTATTCTCTCCAGAAAGCATAAGGGTTTGACCTGCTTAGACATCAGAGATATTTGCAGAGAACTTTGCTAGAACCAGTAACTTGATAAACGGGGTTTCCCTACGCTTACTGTGTAACTGGGAGCTGCTCAAGTCTCTCCTGAGCATCCCCACCTTTTATCTTAGATAAAGGTGGAGTAACAGACTTGCTAACTCGCTGGGAGCTGCTCAAGTCTGTCCTGAGCATCCCCACCTTTTAACTTACATAAAGGTGGAGTAACAGACTTGCTAACTCTGTCCCCTTTTTGCATTCCTTTTCGGTTTGTGTCCTCTGAGTTTCAGGGAGGATGTAAAGGACTTGTCACTCCAGTGAATGGTCTGCTTTACGTAACTAAGCCTTGCATGGCCTTACTAACAAAGGAGGCAAGCGTCTCCATCACAAAGCCGAAGGAGAACAAGGCCGTTGTGTTGAGTATCAGTCAGGGAGGAGGTAGTGCTGCAGAGCTAGTTTGGCACGAACAAGCACGGGCTGCATCAGGAAGCTGTTCAGGCCAGCAGTTTAAAAGGGCGAACGAGCCTGCATGGCGTGTTTCCTACATAATGGCAGACTCACGCTTGTTTGGCGTAAGGACTATTACGCAATGTGTTCCTTTGCATTCCTTCAATGCAGCCATTGTCAAAGTGCACAAGTTCACCACCAGAACAGGTTGTAAACCAGCTCATTCATTTTAGATGTTAGATCTTGCTGAACGATTCTGTACCTCCCCTACTAACCTTTAAACTACAGAAATGAGACCAGTCTTGTCGTGTAATCTGAAGCTCATGTATGTTAGCGTAACCTTCGTGTCAGCTGCATGAGAATGTTGAACACTTAAGGTTGGTTAAAGTATCTAAATGCATAACTATGCTTGGATTTGTTACCTGATTCTGTGAAACGTTGTTCTATTGTGAATCTGGTAAGTGTTGAAAATTAAACCTGGACATTTCTGCGATTTGCAATAGATAGAAGATGTGAATAAAAAATTTGATAATCTGAAGAAGCTTCAAGACAATGAGTGGCAACCGCTTGATGTCCCAACCAAAGCAATTGTCAAGGTACGAATAGCTCCTAAGGCATCAAGATGCAACAGTGTGGTGAGATATCTAAAATAACTAGTAAGTTGCTATTGCAGTAATAAATACTCTTCCTAAATGGAAGTTTCTTCTAAAGCTCAACTCATCTGGCTTCTCTAGACGTTAATGTTTAAAAATCTAGTGACATTCCTCTGAAAGGGCACCATTCTTCCTTGCATCTCCCAAGTGCACTTGTATTGATTCTCATTTGTGATGTTAGTTGTGTCTCTTGGCTAGGAAGATAAGAACTAAGAATTAACAATGACTCTTTTGGAGTCATAGGACTCTTTGCTGGTAAAGTAAGTTTGTTATATTTAGAAATTTACCCTTCAGGTGTAGAACAATTTCTCTGGGCCACTGGCCTTGGCACTGACTTAATGGAAAAGGAAAGTACGCAGGAATTTGGCAGTGACTGCCAGTTCTGAGCCGCGAGCGCTAAATTATCATGGTGTTCCATTAATACAGTACCACAGGTAGCATGATACTATTCATTCTCTAAGCACAAATGGCTCTGACTATCAAAAATGAGTTATTGCTTATTGCAAAATAAGCTTTAATGTAAACTGTTTTATGTATTTCAAACCAAAGAGTAGATAATTGCTTCTAATGACTGAACATTAAGTCATATTCACATTGCCTAAACTCCATCCGGCTCCTTGAGACTGCTCAACTAATCCTGAAAACGATACGAAGGTCAGTCAGCAACTTCAGGCATGGGAAGCTGGAGGGAATGTCGTTTGGGTGGGCCGCCCGTAAATGTCAGAACCCTACAGATGGTACAAGATGCAAAACTCCCTCTGAAAAATTGAACACTAGGGGAGACTTCGCTGACTGGCTGGTGTCTGTCCCGCGGTTCCTTTGTCTCCTGCCACTAGGAGTCCCTGCACCCTGCTGTTTTCAGAAACCTTCACTGGAGTTGGTAGAAATACTCAGTACAACTTTTTTCTGAACTGCAGACTCAGTATGAAAAATCCTTAATATTGTCGTCACAAACGAATGTCGATAGCTGAACGGCAGTCCGAGGCGTTCTGGAGATGAACGGACACCATGTCTCTTGCCTGTTGCTGGCTCTGTGCGTGGCCAGCAGCCGCGTAGATGTTCACGTGCCATTGTTTTTGTCCAAAGCTTCCAGATGTGACCTAGACTTTCTTACAATTTCAGAAAAAGGCTATTCCAAATGGAGTATCTAAACCAAAGCTGGGAGCGGCTGGAAGAGCTGCTGCCCGAAACCGCCTTGCTGCTATAAAAGCAGCTATGAGGGATAAAATGAAGCATGACGGAGCTGCTGACTGTACAGAGCAGGAGAAGCTACCAGAAGTAGAAAAAGTGGTTTTTGAGGCGGGATTTTTCCGAATCGAAAGCCCTGTGAAAACCTTTCCAGGTGGGTGAAGCTTAGTCACGATTCCTCTGACCTGAAAGCACCGAAGAGAGTTTCACCAGTCTCATTGGGTAGAGGAATTACGCTGTTTATACCGGATACAACTCCAGTACTGGACACAATTAATATTTCAACTAGTGGTTAATTACGTCAGGGTTCCAAAGTAAACTGTTCTACGTGAATGTACTGATGTGAGTGATTAGGGCAATGTGAAATCTCTGCTTAGAGAGGTAAAAGCAGCTGGTTCGTGTTTTTTCAGCATGTGTTTAACAATGAAGTTTTAATCTAGGCGTTCCCAGACTTAGCTGACGAACCTTTTCATCAAAGTCAGCACAGACTGATGTCCTCCACTTGTGAGACAGGAATTGGGGTTTTTTGAGCTAAGTCTCTTGCGGTACGGATTACCGTGTAGCTGTAATCTGTATTCACGTTCAACAAATTTGTAACATAATTCCAGTCTGCTATAAACGCTGTTTAATAGGGTTTTTTAAGCAGATGCTCAAAATATAACTTTATTTTCAGTATCTATCTTTTTGCAATCTATGTGAAGCCAGTATTTTCAGTAACCCTTCACTCTCTGGGAGGTGTTCGGCTTCTCTCCCACTTCTAGCTCATAGGTTGACTTCGAATTTCCTGGTTTATTTTTTTTTTGCGTGGATCTCTTCCCTCACCACTAGACTACCAGGCTTTTTGCATGATTCTTGTTGGTAGAGGAGACCTTCTGAAAAGGGTTCAGGGTTGGACTAGATGACCCACAGAGGTCCCTTCCAACCCCTACCATTCTGTGATTCTGTGAAAAGCTTTGAGCAGCGCTGGGTTTAAGCAAGCTCTAGCAGACAATCTGTTATAAGAATCAATTCTGAATCTGTGTCGAAGTCTATTACAATTATCTCATGTGAAAGATGGAAATTAATGACAGCTTTCACCAGATGGACTATTTAATGAGAACAGCAAGTCTCATTATTGCAGGTTCTTTGTGAAGGGATAGTCATTACTAAATTGCTTAGCCTGGAGTTAAGGTAGTTTTGTAACTTATTGACCTACTCCTGTCATGTTTTTTCAGTTTCTCCTTGCAGTGTATGGAAGATTTCAAGGTAATATTTACATAAGACAATTCAGCAAGCAGAAAACAGTAAGGTTGCTAGCTAGAATCCAAACATACAGTTAATTTCATCTTCTGGAAACTGCTGTAATAATGAAACATTTAAACACACGGTTTCAGGCTTGCTTTCAAAGACACCTCGCAGATCTTCCCAGCGGACTTCGGGAAAACCGGCAACTCCAAGATCATCCAGGAGAGCTTTGCTTCAGAGCTTTCCTTCTGTCCCCCGTAACCCTGAGGATACGACTGCAAATCAGACAACACCAGTGCTCAAAGGCTTCCACCCAGCAGAAAATTTGAAAATGCACCCATTTCCCACTGGAAAAACTCCCCCACTGGAAAATCTCCCCGGTGGTGGTCTTGAACAAAGGTAGGCTTGTTAAGGCAGCTTTTAATTAACTTTGTAGAAATAATTTTATAGTATTAACTGAAAGTATTGATACCCATTACACGTTACACTCAATTTGGCAGTGATAAAGTTGCGAAGTCCTTGTGTTTTTTTTCCTTCCCTCAAGAAAATATTAAGAGCTTTGCCCAAATGTAGTTTTGCTGCTGAGGTAGAAGATTATTTTTGCCCATAAAATTCGATATAGCTGACCAGTGCCAAACAAGCAAACATAACTGCAGAACAGATGGTACGATCAGTTGGGTAAGCAAAAGATGATTGAAGGTGATGGAAGAAGATGACTGAGAAGAGCGAAAACATTTTGGTTTCTCTTTCAGCATTTCTGTAGTTGCAGAAGAACACTGTCCTGTTGCTGTCATAGCAGAGGGAACTAAGGTAAGTCAGGCATAATTCATGTATGGGCTTTAATTTTCTTATTAGCAAAAAAAAAAATATTCTTTTTATTAGCCCCAGACACGCAGATTTCTGGTCACATCCTCATTAAGATATCTTCTGTTTTCCTCAGGCTGGTGCTTTTTCTTTCTCAGTATGGGCATAGACAGGGACTGCTGCAGTTTGGGGACCTCGTCTAGCTCCTGGGGAGCTATCTTTTGCGGGTCCTGTTGGCTGCTGTACGATGCCACTTGTCACTTGGGCACGCAGTGTTCCTGGAAGTCCCCTCCCTGTTTTCTGGCGTGAATTTTTTTTAAATGCTTTTGCATTTGGGGACCGCGACTAAAGGCAACAGCAGTGTTTAGCTGCCTGGGTCCTCGTGCTGCCGTAGCAGAGCATCGGGCTGTTACACCCTTTAAGCTGTAGTAAGAGCAGTGTTACTGACACGAGTATCAGAGTTCAGACATCCACGCTCTGAAACCTCTGAGGATTTGGCGACATGCCTGCGTTTCAGTAGCCTTAAAAAAGCAGGAGTGTGGCCTCTGGAGGTTAGATGAGACTGTGCTGCTCGGTGAAAGCCAGTGCTTTGCGGTTAATCATCCTTAAGTACGTTTCGTTGGAAATGGAGTGTCTCAATTCCATTTGTTACTGCTTGGATCTGTGCACAACTATAGCAGTCGTTTGCCTTCCACACCCCCCACCTCACCCCAGTATATATAACACATATTTTTTTAAAAAAATAATAATCTTGGTTTACTAATTTATTTTCACACCTTTGACTTCATCCTTTCCCTGTCAGATGAGAAATTGCTTATCGGTGCTGTTGCTCTCTGGGGGAAACTGTGGTAATCTTTAACTTTCAGTATCGCTGATAGGTTTTTCTGGAGGTAAAGTCTCATTAGAGAACATACTCAGAATGTTTTTGGCAGCTGAAGTTCTGAATCTTCTTTTGTGTGGAAGAACTTCCTTTATACTCTCTAAGAGGTTATCAAGCTTACAAGGGTGTTTGGGAAATAAATAGTCACAGACTCACAGAATGGCAGGGGTTGGAAGGGACCTCTGTGGGTCACCCAGCCCAACCCCCTGCCGAAGCAGGGTCACCCAGAGCAGGTTGCACAG